TAGCTGTGAAAAAAAAAGATGTGGCCAAACTGGTAGCTACACTTATAGCATTGATAAGAATTTTACAGCAAATATTCACTCATTAGTTAGCCAGGCCGCATTTTTTGTTCAACTTTGGGCATGATGGTGGATAAAACAAAATATGCGGCCTAACTTCCAATGAAGGAATATTTGTTGTAAAAGTCTTATCAATGTTATAAGTGTAGCTATCATTTTGGCCGCCAATTTTGATTTCATTCCTTTAAGTCGTACGCTGAATCCTTTTTTTTTTTTTGGCCGCTTTTTATTATTTGTTTTTTACACCTAAGGTGTTTTTAATTATATATCGTGATTTTTTTGTTTTCAATACACAACTACAAACCACAGCAAGTAAGAAAGTGACACTCGATAGTAACCAGCATTAGCTTTAGGGTCGCAACCCTGTTATTTGGAACAGACTTTACTTTAAACCAACCAGATTCTTTAAAATATATGGTGGTAGTTTTCCCCTTTAAAACCGTGTTAAGAGCTTTCTTTATAGTAACACCATTGAATTTAGATTAACAGTTTCTTGTCATCACCCCCATACAATCGGTACATCCGTATCAAGCATAATTATTTATGCTAATTGCGTAATCTATAATTACGTGAAGCTAAACGTCTTTAATTAGGTTAATTTAATAAAATTCAGTAAATTTATGCTGAAAATTGGCAATGAATAATAACCGTCTATCCGTATGATTCTTTTGAAAACTTGAGCTAGAAACTGCGCGTTCTTTCACCTTATAGTTTTGCTGCTCTAAATCAGCCGTTTTTAATCCGAACGACAAAAAACTAAAAGCTGTCCACTTTTACTCTAGGTTAAGCTGTATTAAAATGTCAGACCGATAGCTCACATTACTTTTTGCGTAGGCGTGCACATATGTTATCGCTAAATGTGAGCGGTTTTTGTTGAATAACTTTATACATATGGATCATATTTACACCAAAGTTGACACCTAATTGTAGGTTCGTCCGGACCCCGTGTGCTTTCGGTTAACCAAAGGCATCTTCATTTTGCAACAGAGCAATAGCATTTTCTGTTTTAAGGAAAATTGTATGACCAAATACATGTTGTAGCAATGGTAACAAAATTAGATTTACTGAGTTAATGTTTTTTCTGTTACTTTGAGAAATTATGGTTACTGCAGGGTATTGAAGGCTTTTAAAATGATTCTATTAAAAGGTATGTGGTTGATAGATTTGTACTCTTTATATATAAATATCATGTTCGGAAGAAGTTTTTATTATATTTAAATGACAAACATCGAAATAGTAACTTCGTTGTTGAAGAAGAAAATACTCTGTATTATAATTTTTTGAACTTAAAATTTAAATCACGAGACAAAATTCACCCATTAGAATT